AATACTAAAATATCTTTTTATGTATTTTGGCAGGCATCATCTAACAACAACAATATGCAGCAACAGCTCACCATACACCTGCACCACTGGGAGCATTGTTAAAAACTGGACAAAAAAGATCCCTGACAAGGATAAGTTTCAGTAAAGTGGACAATAATCAATCAATTTTACTATACAATTATTATACTGGGAATTACAATTAATACTAAACTTGGTTTGGACAGATCTGAAACCTTTTAACTAATGTGAATATAATGAGCTACTTAACTGGTTTGCTGAAAATGAAAGGGATGAGAGTGAAAAGGAACGAGAGAGAGGAGAGCAAAGGTGATTTATGGCCAAAATCTGGCTAAACAAAGCCAGAGCAGATTTGCTGCTATACAAAGACCCAACTGCAAGCAGAGGAGGTACTATGCTTCCTGGGTGGAAAAACCAGGCTAGCACAGACACACAACCTATACACTTCACTCTCTCAGGTCTAAAATGTCTTGTTGCTGTTAGGGTACCTGGCCTTGAGGAAAAAAAACAAGTACAGTAACGCTCAAAGCAAAGAAGTATGGAAGCCCATTCCCGCCAGTTACTCCGAAGCCCATTCCCGCCAGTTACTAGTTACTTAGCTAAGTCGAAATTCCGACATAGCTAAGTAGAAATAATGACTTAAGTAAATCTAAGTAGAAATTCTAACTTAGCTATGTCAGAATTTCGACTTAGCTAAGTCGGAATAACTACATAGCTAAATCGAAATTCCGACTTATATATGTCGAAATTCCTACATAGCTCAAAGTATCTTGACGTAAGCCTGTCAAGCGGAAGTAGTTATTCTTCTTCCTGTTTAGTTGTTTTTGGCGCGGAGACAGAGAGCTGCAGCGCCCTTTACCGTAGCGTAGCGTGCACTGAATAACAAACAGCCATTGGAATTCACTCAAAACGGACCCACGCCTGAAATAATCTTCAATTATTCCATCCATCTGAACTGTGTGGTGTGAAAGGTGCTGTAGCGTTAGCTCTCAGTCTCCGCGACAAAACACGAAGAAGAATAACTACTTCTATTTTGTTATTTCTACTTAGCTAAGTCGAAATTTCGACTTAGGGAAGTGTAAGTAGGAATTCCGACATATCTAAGTCGGAATTCCGACTTAGATGTCGGAATTTCTACTTAGCTAAGTAGAAATAACGACTTAGAGTGTTTTATTTCTCATTTAACTGGCGGGAATGGGCTTCCATAAATAAGAGAAAGTACAAGAGTGAATAAAAAAAGGAGACAAAGTAGACGTTAAAAAAAAAGAGTGGAAAAAAGAGAGTTTCCCATCCCAGCTCTTCATGAAGCAGGTGTCTCAACCCTCCAAGTCAGAACAGAGCTCACAGATAGAAAACAGAAGCAGAAGCAGAGCTGGCCAAATAATCAGATCCAGAACTTGCAGCTTGTAACACTGGACACAGGGTTAGCTTTCACCAGTAAACCAATGAATCGGTTTTTAAGCCACCAAACATCACCTAAACAATGTGTCTCTGTGTGACTGGAAAGCATCTATTTAAAGGTCAACCTTTAAAGTCTTTCCTGGACTCGGACCTGTACAAGATATGTTATTGCTACATTTCCACTATCGGAACCTAAAGCGCAGTATAGCCTGTACTTCCTTTAACCATCACCAAGCATGGCCTTCGAGGTCGACACAGACCGTCTTGCTTTATTTTTCCACTATATTTTCTCTCTGTCGGTTTCTGTTTAGAGGAGGGAGGGGCTGCTCCCCTCTCACACACACAGAGTCACAGCCTGATTTTAGTACTACCTCATGAGGGATGCTGAAAATTAGCTCCCGGAAAACACCTCCAAGGCTGAGTGTAGTGGAAACAAACACAGAACCCATGACAATCATTACTTGGCTCAACACGTTTCAGTAAGTTCCTATAATGAAAAAACCCCTTATGTAAACTCATGACTTGATAAAGATACTGTTAAGTGAAACTCTCTGCTAGCAGGAGGTATCCTCAGAGCAATATTGTAGGTAAAAACACTGGTTTATAGTCTATTTCTACATAAAATCATAGGTCTGTGATGTTACGTAGGATGTTTTATGTCATTTTTATAATGAGTGGTGTTGGTTTATTACAATTTTAAAGGTAGGGTTGGTGATCCTGGAAAAGTTTGAAAGTAGCCAACCAAAGAAATCCCACCCTTTCATTCTGACTTCTCTCCAAAGCCACTCCTTCAAAACAACGCATACTGCAACACGCACTGCCTGACTACTACTCACAGATTTCAGGAAAATAATAAATGCTCCCCAAACCAAAACAAAGCTAATAATTACCTGTCCAGAAGAAATACAGCCGCCATGGCATCACTTTTCAGTCCCTTTTGTTCTCTCAGTGGTCGCCATCGTTCAAAAGCCACACTAATGTTAATTCTGGTTTTACTTCTTGAAGCATCCAGCTTCTTTTTGGTTGTAACTTTCTTAAATACAGTGCAACCCGTCCAGATCTGTGGCCCCAAACCTTAGTTGGGGACTTCTGGTTCATGTCTAAACTGCTCATATCCAGTCCCTAGCCTTAGGAGTCTGGACTTTTCTGGCGAGGAGAAGTGAAGAGGGAGGCCAGCTAACTCTTGGTAACACAAACACTGCATCTGGCCGTTGATGCCCAGTTAACTGCATTACAATCCTGTCTATACACTTGGAGCCGACTACTGTTGGTAAATGATTTTGCTTAAAGAATAAACCAAGGATTTGAAGAAAACTTCAAAAGACCATACAGCTGAGCCTGTTACATGGAAATCACCAATCCAGGTAATCTAAAAGCAGAGAAAGACTTCACAATATTTGTTAATTGATCTTTTTTGTTATATACACACCAGCTTTTATTGTACTCCTGAGAAGTTGACGGTCTTACCTTGGTGGGAATGCGTGCCGTCAAGAGGTAGGCTCGGTGAGATGCAAGAGCCTGGAAGAGAAAGAAAACAGACTGAATAATGACAATGCAGCTGTAAATATACACACTGTAGCTTTAAGTATACACTGAACAAGACAAAGAAATGACAAGAACAGAGCTCCCCTGCTGACTCATCAAGATGAAAAAGCTTGTGATCGACTAGGACGATTCCTCTCCCCTGGTCTACAATACAGAGAGATGCTTATTACACATAAGCAAAATGCCTTTGTTTCTGCTGGAACACCCCCTCTGAGTGAGGCCATCATCACAGTCAGTGTTTTTCTCAATTTCTTTCTTGTGTTGCTCTTGTGTTGAGCAAACTGAACACCAACTGCCACAGTTTATCAGAGCACATGGTGAGGACTGAGTTTCCTTCTGTTGCTGAGCTGTGGACGAAAACTATGCTTGAGGTGACCTTACAGGAATGCATAAACTTGACATTCCTCTCCAGACGAGCAACTTCAAAAAGGTCATTTGGCTGGTTTATTGAAATGGCTGGCATAGAATGTGATGTTATAGCAATGATGTGCACAACTCATGTAACTCAGAATGTGTTAAACCTGACAGTGATTTTAGGCCAGATTCCAGTGCTGTGTACATTAAAACAATCCAAACCTCCTGTAATCCCTATAATGCATGGCCTAAAATCTCTTTAAACCTCTTGTAATCCCTATAATGCATGGCCTAAAATTAGCATAACCATATACATTTCAAAAGGTAAGAATCTTTGTGTATTAAAGTGGATTATCATAAAATAATCCAAAAAAGTGAGGTCAATGCAGTTAAAATGTTCAATCTTTAAAACCAAAACAAGTTCAACATTTTATACAATCTGATGTTTAAAAGCTCATGTGTGAGATGGTTAGTCAAAACTGTTATTTTAGCTGAAATTCACCACTGTACAAGATGTTGCCTTTTACCTTCATGTGCCATGACATTGGATTTTCTCCTGTCAAATATTATCATAACACAACCCAGGCCGACCTTTAGAACCATTAAAAGGACACTGCTATCTACCTTTTTTGTCAAAATCATTTTGGATGGTATGCGAAGGCAGACTGTACCACATGTGTCTCCATTATCACAGCTGAAAACTCATGAGCCTTGTAGCACGACTTCTTTGTTTCCTTTCAATCTGCAGTGACAGCATGCTGAAATAAAACTGTGATGTCACAAATGTAAAAAAAAAAGGCCAAGTCATCAGCTTACAGATAAAAAGATACAGAAGGGAACTACAGGGTTTGAATGCTACAATTTAAAAATGAAAGGTAAGAGCCACCAAAAATGCCAGGGAAACAGGAACACAGGGATTAAGTGAAGAAAAAACTGAAGCAGGGTTTAGTGTAGATAAAAGGGAAGGAAGGGGCAGAGGGAGCATAGCGTACGAACAAGTCCCAAACAAGCAATGGCTGCCATCGAGGGCAAGGAGGGAAAGAAAGTGAATGCATAGCACAAGAAAACAAGATTAAAGAAAGCGTATGAACTGTCAGTTTTTTTGAAAGATGTGAAACATTAAACAGAGGGATGAGAGTAAGAAGGATGACAGTATCTCCCAGCCCTCTGTGGCTCATCTCCACAGGCACGGTCTGTGATGTGACCATCTGTGACAGGGCCAGACAGGAAGGCCTTGCAACCAAAGAAAACCTCTCCTAAAGAGCACCAGTCACTGTGACGATCAACTCGCCCTCTCACTCCTACTTACTTTGCTCTTTGGGGCAGCTCAAACATGTGAGACTGCAGATATGCAAATGGTGGAATCTCCCAGCTTGACTTTGAAACGTACATCTACATTGGACAGTGTGAGCATTTAATTCTGGTGTGTTTTCATAGGTTTGAACATTCTTTCTAATGGTTATGCCAACTCAAAATTGCAGCACTGCTAAAACAAAGTCTGGTATAGAAACTTGAATGGTCAAACAAACAGATGGTTTATCCAGATTATCTTCCACTTTACCTAGACTGCTCAAAATGTCAAAAATAATCATTGCCAAGAAAATTATGGCTCAGATCTGAACCTGAAAATTCTGTGCCGACAGTTCTATCATTTTACCTATGACCTTCATTTTCATTTCCAAACAAAGTTTCCTGACCTGAGGATTTGTTAAAGGAGCACTTCACCGATTTAAGTAGTAGTATTCACCCTGTGAAAACAGCTACATGATGTCCTTTGTGGTTCTGGAGAGGCTTTCCAAAGTTTGAAGAAGCAACTCAGATGAAGTCATTTTTTTCTAGGAACTAAAAGCCAGGACATCTCGACATCTGTTTATTGTTAGTCTCCCAGCTTTATGGAAGTGTAGTAATAAGTTCCTGGAGTGCCACACTATAAGCTGAACTATCATCTGACTCCACAATTTCTTGCTCTATCAGTCTTCTTTTTTAGCGAGATATCAGCATTTATTTACTGTAGTGAGAACAATGCCATCATAATCACTTACAATTATTATATGGTCAAACCTTTGAAAAATCTAACTGTATAACATCAGAGCAGCAAAATATGTAAAGGGATTGCCTAACTGTATAACAGAGCAGCAAAATATGTAAAGGGATTGAGTTCTGATGTCAGGAGGTAAAAAAATATTCAAATGAAACTTGACCTGAAATTGCATAATAGGAAAAGCCCTCATTGTGTGTGTCCGATGGCACTGAGGCATACATTTAGATCCTTTTAAACGGCTTAAAAAAAGAATGAGACACATCAGTGGGTTCTCAGGAGCAGAACAACTACAGCTGCCATCACACCCAGCAATGACCATAAACCTGTTGACTGAGAATGGAGGGGAGTTACCGACCGATACAGGATTTGGCTTTTCTTCCCAGTCTCATAACACAAGGCAGTAGATCATTCAGTAAACAGATAATCAGTTAAGGCCTTAAAGCAAGCAGCAAAGCAGATTCTTTAGAAAGGACACAGGAACACTTCTGTGACTCTTCCTTAACTTATTAATATATGTTTAAACACAATCTGATTAATGTTGCCACAGCGTCTTAGAGTTGCCTTTAGTTATTCATCCACACATCCTCCTCCTGTTAATGCATAACTGTGCTTTTTCCATCTGCCCTTTTCAGCAGACACCCCTAGTTTCATGACCCCCTTCATCTCTGCAACTGCCCCTCGCTCTCTGATTTAAGTGGACTTAAAGCCTCCCTGTTAACCAGTGATTTCACTGTGGCCACCATCCCGCCCTTAGCTTTACTCAGCCAACCAGATGGTAGCAGCACTGAAGCGTGTCTACAGGACTAGAAAGCATCTGCTGTTGCTCTCTCACTCTTTTTCTGTACAACACACACACACACGAGCTGGTGTCTCATTAAATACAGTAACTATATCATTTGTCTCCTTGGCCTGCAACAAATGCCACACACGAGGCACGCTATTGGGGAATTTCAGAGCCAAATCTATTTTATTATTAAATAATAAATTATGTTATACGGATAAACTAAACAGCATTCAGAGAGTGCAAACCTCTGCCAAAGCGGCTCAGTTTCCCCATAATCCCATTACACCTAAAAAACAATATCATGACCATTTGACCATCAGTTGTGTGGCTTCGCTACTCACACTAGGTGCAGTTCAGAGAGGCTGCAGCAGGTCGGACGGGAAGCCTGTGCTTTGACTGCATTCACATAAAATTCTTCCTGCAGGCTTGTGCAGAGGTGTGGCTGTGTGTATTTGTACTGCTGCTCGCTGTCTGCCTTGGTGAAGTAGATTTAGAACACAGGTAGTGACATTTGAGTGCAAAGATAAAGGAAATGGATGCTAGGTATAACTTGGATCCCTTCAGTCCACTGAATAAAACAACTCTAAAATGAACATGCCTGTGCTGCAGCTGTATCAAGCGTCCGGTGTTAGCCGCCATGGTGGAGGGGTTTTTTGCCAGTCATAGTATGAACTGGCCCTCACAATGGTGAAGAATATTTTAAAAGATTCCTGGATCTGGATGATAATCCATATCAAGACCAAAATCTAATTGATTGTTCCTTAGGCCGTACCCTGCCTCTCTCAAAGATCTCATCCAAATCCATTAATTACTTTTAGTTATACTGTGAACAAACCAACCAACAAACACTTGTTAAATAAAAAAAAAAAAAACATTACCTTCACTTTGTTCTATAGCCATTTTTTTCTAGGATACCGACCCACACTATTCATGAGAGATAAAGATGAGAATGTCTTAAACCAGATTAAAGGGCCAGCAGATCTATAAGATGCGTTTCTGTATGTGTGCGCCAACTATGTAGTCCAATCACAGCACTACCACTCCCAGATTATCTTTTTTTCTGCCAAAGTGTCAACCCCATCTACTCCCCTCCCATTTCCCCACCACACATGCACACTCACATACACACATGATGTTACTATGGCAACAGTTAGCCCAAACTGCAGGCACATGTTTGTGAATGCACACACACATAGAGCGACAGACACTCACACATGAAAGTAGCATGCTGCAGTGCCAAGCCTTGCTCGGGAATGTCAATGAGTTTTCACCCTCTTAAACAACATTCAAGCTGGTCCACAGTTCGACTGCATCGCTGTAGGAACTGAAGCAGTACAAAGCAATGCTTCAGCAGTACTCATTCAGCTGTGGCAGCACTCCGCCATAGGAAATCTACCCCCACAACAAATGCTTTTATTCATCTACTGTACATCATGTCATGTGGTGCATCCATGCTCTACTATTTCTATCACACTTTGTTTGGGTAAGAGCAGTGTCTTTAAAAACTCTGATGGACCAAAAAAAAAAAAAAAATCTGCTTGAACAGAAGCAAGCCTTGCATTTTAGCCGTCAAGTATTCAGACAATTATCAATCAATCAATCAATAATCCAACTGATCATTTGGTCTATAAAAACTGAAAACTGTGAAATATGCCCATTTGCCAGAGCAAAAGTCGATACTTTAAACTACTTGCTTTGTCCTATCAGCAGTTCAACACCCAAAGACACAGACTTCACTGTATTAGAAAACAAAGGAAAGCAGCACATTTTCACATCTGAGTAGCTGGAACCAGC